TCACTCCTAAGGCAGTAATGTGTTTTGTTCCTTCATGGGCTGCAGCCTCCCACTGAAGAGATGAGAGTGGTCATTCAAAGAGCAGTTGCAACTACCTGCTGATTGGTGTTCATTTTGGCAGTGTTGATATTTGCTAACAGAGTGTTTTTTTTCTTGATATGTTGCCAGGAATGTAAAAATGCATGTAAAATAAGTGTAAACTGTAGTCTTGTTCTCCCCCACCCTTTCTTGTTTTTTTTAATAGCAAGAAGATACATAATATGAGATCGACCTTCTAATCATACTCTTCCAGCTGTGCAGTGCAGTGCTGTTAACTATAAGCACAGTGTTGTACAGCAAGTCTCTAGAACTTGATCATCTTGCTTGCCTGAAAGTTTATACCCATTGAAGAGCATCTCCCCTTTATCCCTATCACCCATCCCTTTGGTTTTTATCTACAAAACTCAGGAGTGATGGGAGCCAAAAGGGAGGCAAATAATCCCCAAATCTCCAACCTGCTTGGCATCACTTCTGACTTTAGTTGTGCTCTTGTCCTGGGTGGTTTCTAGATAAAAGTTAGTGTTGATTTAGCAGTTATGATCATGTGCTAAGCTCTTTAATCATTATCTTATTTAATCCTCTCAACAGCATGGTAAGTTAGATACAATTATTAACTGCTTTTTTCATAGATGAGTTAACTGGTTGGAAAAATTGAGCAATATCCTCACATTTACACATAAAGTAGCAGACTGAAGATTTGAACTTGCCACCTGCCCCCACAGCCTATGGCATCAATAACCCTGCTTCACCGTGTTTGAAAGACCCCCTTTTCCTCTTCCAGCACACGAATACACCCACTGTAGGTCTAGTGTCAGGACAAGCTGGATGAAGGATCAAAGCAAAATGAAGCAAAATCAAAGAAAAACAAAACAAAACAAAAGTCTCCCATGGGAACTCTTACCTGTTCCTATCATTAAAATCACGTAAATGCAGAATTTGCTGACATGTAAACAGGCATCGTCCTTGACTGTATATATTTGGGATCGAAGACTGAAAGGCAAGGGTTGTAAATTTCTTTGCGTCTGTAGGATCAAATTATCATAACTTTACCAATAGTCACGTTCCTATTTTATAAATTTAGTCCACAGACATATTTAATGTGGGTGTAATTTTTTTTGGTGAAAATTTCATGTTAAACATTTTACAGAAAGATGTGTACTTTTCATTTTGGCACAGTCCTTAGCATTTGCTTTATCTGCTCACTCACTTAATTTACTTGCTTTGCCCTCTTAGGCATTTGCCTTTGAAATCTCTGCTTAACAATAAAAATTTGGGTGGACATGAGATGATTTTTTTAAATGTAGTTATAGAAGTAGTTACGTAGATTAACACACAATATAGGTATTTTACCTTGAGATTTAACTTCTGTCAAAGCTTTGCTTTCTTATTCTATTTATGTTAATATTATGGTCCCCTCCTTTTATTTCTTTTTTTTTCTTCTTTCTTTCCTTCCTATTATTCTGAATGTTAACATTCTGTTTCCCCCTTTGGATTCGTATTCACTTAATTCTTCATGCCTTCTTGGCCAAAGGTGGATATGAGTCAGAGGAGGAAAGGGGCTTTCTTGAAGGTGCTTTTTCATTATTATTATTTTTGGTGTGGATTTTGTAGAAATGGAAATGCTTTAAAAAAGGATGAAGCCCTGCTTCTCTGACTTCCACGTGTCCCTTGATAAAGATAACAAAGTGCAAAGGTTTCCAGGCCCAGAGAGAGAAGTGCTGGTCTGTGTACATGTGGCGGGATGTGGTGGCACTGGGGTCAATCAGAGGAGGCATTAGGCATTTTGCTTTCCTCCTCCGAGTTTCAGTTTCCTTACCTATAAGATGCCAGTAATGATACTTCACATAATTTGTTTGAGGTTTCAATAAAATATCCGGTAAAGCTCCCAGCACAGATTAGAAATCCAGCACATGTAGGTTTTGCCTTTCCTCCTTCCATTTTTCTCAGACACTAGGATTGAACACAGACATTGCCAGTGCCATCAGAGTATAGAAGAGGATTTCTGATGAGAGTGTCAGAGAAAGGTTGCAATAAAAATGTACTCTTGCCAACAAAAGATCCCTATGGCCGCCACACAATGTCAATACACCGTGTATATCAATGCATTTCTGCATGTGTGCATGCACATATGTGCCACAGTGGTGTGTGTGTATGCATACGTGTGCACACATATCTGCAGCTTTTGTGCGCCGAGTGATGTGTTTGTATAAGCAAGGATGCAGTGTGTGTGCAAGAAGAAACAGGGCTGGAAGAAGAGACTACCTTGCATGAGATATTTGATGGTAACCCTTATTCACTATATTGTAACTCATGGTATATAAAATAAAGTTCGTTTATGATGTTGGTCTTATCTTCTAATTAAAACCATAGGCATGAAGCTTCTTTATACCTGCATAAAATAAGCAGTTTAATTTCTCTGCACCAGGGGAGAAATGATTTCATGGCCTGTTATGTAGCCCATTGGTACATGGCGGGGAGCAAGAGAGGGAGGTTATGCAAGCCTCATTCTTTCCCAATATATTTGTCCTCGCAGACTCTACAAGGACCATGGGTGCATCCTCTGAGGTTTTTTCAAGGGCAGCAGGGGTGCTTTAACCTGTGGTCCCTACCCTTCACAGTGCCAAGGGAGGAGAAAGCCATTCTGTCTATGAATAGCCCATCTGAGAGCTTTTCCCCTAGATTATTCACACATGAATGAAAAAAAAATTATACTGCATCCATTTCTCAAAAATTTGCTGATAGCTAGTAATAACTTCTTTCAATGAAGCCAAAGCAAATATTTGAGAAAAAGAAAGTAAGCTTGTCTTGGAAGCTGTAAAAGAATAAAAGGGGAGAAGGACTATGAATCTTAGCAGTTAAACGTGTTGAATTTGTTTTAAAGCTTACTTTAGAATGCTAATATATACTATGGATAACATTTTAAAAATCCTGCTATTCAATAGTTTTGTTTTATGAGGTGTAGAGCTTTTTTTAGGGGGGAGCTTTACTTGGTACTCTGGGCGCCATGATGCAGACCGTGTGTAGAAGTAGCTCTAACAGCTGGTGGCAGTACAGCCTGACTGGAAACATAAGAGGAAATAAGCCCATTGGCTCATTCAGTCACTCAGCAAACATTAGGAACTCAAACAATTTGGGTTGAGCTGGATGATAAAGGCCAAATAAACCCCAAAACATACATAAAGGGTAAATTATGTCAGGCTATTTTCAGAATTTTAGTATTTAGGAAGATCAGAGATAAACCATTGAATGGTTTTTAGTACAAGAATGTGAGAATCAGATTTGTATTATAGGATGATTATTCTGGCCACGGTGTGCAAAGTGGATTGTAGGGGACGTGGTTAAAGCTGTGAGATTGAGTCGGGTGTTTTACAGGAATCCAGTACAGAGATGGTCACATTTTGGTCTAAGGCCATCACAGTGGAAAGGGAGAGAATGGACCTGATTTTAAAGTTAATTAGTGGGAAAAATTCACAGAGCCTAGCAACTAATTAATTATAGGAGGTGAATGGAAAAGTGGAGGTAGGGGTGAATCTCCGGCTTTTGGTTTCATGGGAATGGTTGCGGGAAGCACTCACTGAACCAGCAAACAGCCCTGCAGGAGGAGCAGGGTTTGGATGAGTGGGGTACACAGCGGGGCATGTTGTGCTTGAAGGATTCACACAGAAGGTACCAGGCAGCTGAGTTTTCAAGTCTGAAATTGAGAGGAGGAGACCTCAGATTGACATATTTAACTTGTGAGTTGTCCCCAGACAGGTGGTAAGTGGTAATAAAATAAATAAATAAAATTGAGAGAGGAAGAGGTCACTGAAGAACAGTGTGGTGACGGAAAGGAGAAGAGGGTCAAAACTGAGGGTTGAGGAATGGTCTTATTAGAGGGATAATTAGAGAAAGTTGACTATTCCAAAGAGACGGGAAAGCCAGATGAGTATGATGTCGTGGACGCCCCTGGGCGAGAAGGCTTCCAGAGGAAGGGAATTATCAGTGGTAACAAAGACAGCTTAGAGGTGCACTAAGGGAAAGGTCTGCGTGTCTCAGTGGCTGTTGGATTTAAATACTGGAAAGTCTCTCACACCTCTAGTGAAACCAATACCACTGAGGTCCTGTAAGTAGAAGTCAAATTGCACTGGCTGGAGGGGGCTTTTGAATACGGTAGACGGTAATCCTGGCTATCACGTGTCAAGAATACGCATTAGGCCAAGTGCTCAAAGCCAGTTCTGGTGCCATCAGACTCAGTTATTGTTGAGGACAATGAGGCCTCTAGAGGTTAAGAGACGTTCCAGGGTGGTGGTATGCCCAGAGAAGGGTTGAGATGTGACCCCGCTCCCCCTGATGCAGACGCCTTTCCACTGCATCACTCTGTCCGTTTGGCTTGGGGATGACAGAGTTTCCTGAGTGTCGGTGTTTGTCCTGAAGGCCTTTGGGGATATGGGCTTTGGAAAATATCTAGAACAAATGGATCAGGCAACAACTTAAATCAATTAAAGCATTAAAACAATTCAGGAAGGAGAAAACAGTGGGATCCGTCTGATGACTGAAGAGCAACAGGGCAAGAGTGTGAGGGAGAGTGATGTGGGAAACTGACAGACAGAAGAGGAGGAGAGAGATGGTCCCAGGATGGTCCCTTGAGGGTCCCAAGGTCAGGGAACAGTGGCCCATAAGAATATCCTTCCAGCACTTAGCAGGACGAGTATAAGCATCAAAAATGAAAATATGTAAGAGGTGCACGTCAGAAAAACGAGGCCTCATTTGTATGCAGACCTAACCTCGCACAGTCTTTTAGTTCAATTCTGCAACGATGGACTAAATCAGGGAAAAAATGCCAGTGCTTCATCTAAAGGCCCAGACGCCCCTTTCTGTGCTGTGATATACACGTGCAGATGACTTTGTATTTCTGCCTTAATTCCTTGTATTTGTTCTCTCCTGCTAACTCGTCTGTATTTTCTCCTCTCTGCTTTCTTCAGATCATGCTTCTTGGTGATCCTGAAATAGAGAGCAGCATATTGATCAGCTCAGACGAGGGTGCGACCTATCAGAAATACCGGCTCACCTTCTACATCCAGAGTCTGCTCTTTCATCCCAAGCAGGAGGACTGGGTGCTGGCCTACAGCCTGGATCAAAAGGTGAACCTGTACTCCTTTCATTCACATCTTGTCCCCCAGGTACCGCCCGGTGAAAAGCACTTGCTTACTCAATCCAAGTGCTGGTGGCGATTCCACGACATTTCCTCGTTCCAGCCAAGTTGATCATGTCTGCCGCAACTAACCTTCCTTCCTCCTCTTTAATATCAAAACATGCAAGCAGGTGTATTTCATTTATTGACAAGGCTGTTGATCATGGCACAGGTTTAAGATGGTTTTCTCTATGTTTTTACTCGTTTGATCTTTAAAACCACTCTGGGCTGTAAGTAGGAAATGTGTATTCATCATACTTTTATGGAGACTGTCGTAAACAAAGGTGCAGAAAAGTTAAAGTGCTTGCTCACACCCACTCAGCTAGTAGCTGGAGGAGCCAGAGCTTGGATGCTTATGTCCGACTGCCCGTCCAGGCATGTCCCATCACACCATGTTCCCATTGTCCAGGCGTATCCCATCACACCATGTTCTCATTGTCTGGGCGTATCCCATCACACTATGTTCCCATTGACCAGGCGTGTCCCACCACAGCATGCTGCCTTAAGTTGGAATATCCCATTGTTCTCAGTTTAGCAAAGGAAGGGAAACCTCAAACGTGGCCCTTTTGTTATTTTTCTAAAAGTACATCCAAGACAGAGTGGCCCAATATGTCCTCCTCTTTGAGCTTCAGATCCGCATATCCAGCTGTGTTTGATCTTGTCTCCTCTATGTTTCAGAAAACTCCCGATTCAACATTATTCCAAAGATGATCACCTGATCTCCCCCAACATAGTGGGTTCCCTTCCAGTATTTCCTAATGGTATCCATTTAGTTGCAAAAGTCAAGGACCTAGGAGGTATCTGTACGCTTCCTATAGTGTGTGTTCGTATTATAATTTGAGCAATATATTTCCCAAACGTACATCTTATGATTTCAAGCCTTTACTCAAATTCCTTCAGCATTTTTTCATCAGCCACAGAAAGCTGACGAAAGTCCTCAGTAGGCTCTGTTAGTGCCTACTTGGTCTGGTCCCTCTTTCTCTCTCCTGACCGTTACTACTTCCCTTCCAATGGCCGTCTTTCAGCCCCTCACCCCAGCAGTCCCCCTCCCTTTCCTCGTCCTGGGATCTTCTTCCCTAAAGTAAACCTTGTCACTACCAGCTCTCAGATCCAACATCACTTCTACAGGACGTCTTCCCTAAACTCCCAGACAAAGTTAGATCCCCCGTGATGTTCTTTGTCATAACACAATGCACCTTCCCTTCTGAGTACCTGCCACAGTGAGGTTTTCTGTTCACTGATGTGAATTTGGGATCATCTGCATTCCTCACTAGATTGCAAGCTCCAGGCAGGCAGGACGGTGTCTGGTTTTCCTCACTGTTGTGGCAGCAGCTCCTAGGACAGTGTCTGGTACTTAATAATGCTCAGTTAACATTTGCCAGCCAGATGAATTAGTGGATGGATGCAGAGGTGCTATGGTAATGAGCCCTTTACGGCTGATCCACCTATACTTCAGAGAAGAGACTTTAGATTATGCTTCTTTGCATTTCCTGCTTTCTCCAGAACCTTAGTACAATGCCTGATGCTAAACTATTATGTAACCGCGTTGTGGAGTCAATCAGTGAAAGGAAATACATAATTACGAACGCTATCTTGCATAGCGATGTCTACAGAATAACCTTGGTTGAAATAGCTTCTTCTCTCTGGTCTCTCTTTTAAGTTCTAAAACAGTATGTATTTGAATATGTAATTGTAAATGTGAGTGTGTGTGTATATGTATGTGTGTGATGTCAGCACTTTTAAACAATAGTTTCAACATAACCTTTATCTCTCTCATTAGTGGAGCCTCATGTTGGGCGCCAGGTGCTAAATGCAGTCCCCTAAGGATACCCACATGACATTTGCAGAGCAAAAGCCATGGCAAATACATTTCTTTCATGGCATCAAGTGGATATTGTATGAAAGACTTAGCCAAATGTCAGAGAGTCTGTGAATTTAGCTGCTTAGTATAGCCAGGAACTTTGAAGATATATTGGGAAAAATCATTTGGATGTTAAGTGGCTGTATAGTCATTTATTTAGGTGAAACTCAGAGAACTCTTTTTTTTTTAATTTTAATTTTTTAAATTTTATTTTATTGATTTATAGTCAGTTTACAATGTTGTGTCAATTTCCAGTGTAGAGCACAGCTTTTCAGTTTTACATGAACATACATATATTCATTGTCACATTCTTTTTCACCATGAGCTACCACAAAATCTTGTATATATTTCCCTGTGCTATACACTATAATCTTGTTTGTCTATTCTATACATACCTGTCAGTATCTACAAATTTCGAACTCCCAGTCTGTCCCTTCACACACCCCTCCCCACTGGCAACCACAAGTTTGTATTCTATGTCTATGAGTCTGTTACTGTTTTATATTTATGTTCATTTGTCTTTTTCTTTTTCTTTTTCTTTTTTTAGATTCCACATATGAGCGATTTCATATGGTATTTTTCTTTCTCTTTCTGGCTTACTTCACTTAGAGTAGCATTCTCCAGGGACATCCATGTTGCTGCAAATGGTGTCATTTTTAATGGCTGAATAGTATTCCATTGCATAAATATACCACATCTTCTTTATCCAGTCATCTGTCGATGGGCATTTAGGCTGTGAAACTCAGAACTCTTAAACTTCATTTTCACTTATGCAGCAACAGGCAAGGTTAGAGGCAACAGATGTCTCATGTCAAGAGGTTGATAAACCAGATGCAATATGCCTTGTGTGTATACAGAAGTATTCTTTTTCTCTGAGTGCCCAGCACTGAGTGTCTGCAGCATTGCTTGTGAGGTACCCTTGTGGATACAATGCATTCAGGATACTTTCGGACTTCGTGGTGGCTTTTTCACCTGGTACAGATATTTGGAAATGTGACAGTGTGTGCTGATGGATTTTCCTAATCACACTGCACATTTCCGGACATATTGTTCCTTAAGTTCTCTTTCTTGTTGACATCTTCTGTGTAAAGTGGCTGAATGTTCTTTAGGCCCATAAAGTTCTAGCTGGTGCCCTGCCACTCTTTTAAATAAATGGTGTGAGGAGGTGAATAATGCCCCTGGCAACATTTATAGAGATGGTATAAAACGCCTAGCCCCAGTCATCCAGGGTACAGCAGAGTTTATCTTTATTTGGGGATAATTTATTGGTGTAGAGTCAAGGTGAGGGATGCTATGGAAAAGCAAATGAAGATGCAAGGATGGTTGAGACTGATGGACAGATGTCTTATTTCAATCTGCAGCCTTCTCTGATGTGCATGCGTTGAGGCGCTGGTTTCGACTAGAGAAAATGAAAAGTGGTAGCATGGAGGTAACTGCAGCATCGAAGGGAGATGTTTGTGGTGAGGAGCGAATCGATGTTTCCATTATTGTGCCTTTGATGAAATGCACTAGCAATTTCTTTAGAATCCGTAAGGCTGTCTCGTTGTGTTGTATGTATTACAAAAGACCTAATTGAATGATATTTTAAAAGGACAATATCCAATTGCTCTACCTTCCAAATTGCTACCCCAAAGCTGCAGGAGACTTGCCTGGAGACTTCATTCAGTAAAGGCACTGCTGGAGCATTAAGGAAATACCTTCTGGATAGAACAAAATTATACCTGGAAATTGAGAGGTGCACATAATGTGTTAATTGAGATGCTGGATGGCAGGTTGTCAGTCAGATGGGCGACACGGCTGCCTTCTACTGATCAGGGACAGGTTAGGGGTGAAAATGATCCAGGCTTTCCAGCTTCCAAAGCTGTGAAGGGATATGGAGGTAGGGGCAAATGCACCTTGCACTTGACCCTGTTGGAGGATCATGACTCTCCAGTTTCTGATGTGTCCTGCTCAGTGTGACTTGGGCTTTTGACTAGGTCCTGTTCTGGCCATCCTGTAGTTCCTGCTACTCCTAGTCCAGCTCCCCCTCTGCCTTACAGAGTCTCCTGTCATCTTGCGTTTGAATATTAAATGACTCATTACTTCATAAAAACAATTATAAGAATACTTTCTTGGGTATAAGAATCTTGGAGATGTTTTATAAGAATCTTTGAGATTAAAAAACAACAAACAAACAGTGGAAGTCAGAGGTAATGGTTGACCAAATTGGAAATAATAAAAGAAAAGCTATTCCTCCCCTCTCCTCTCAGAACCAAAGCTCTAGAGCATCTTTTGAGAGCTGTGTATTTACCAGCTCTTTAAGAGACAGGATTCTGTTGCTTCCATTAGGCTGTTTCCTCACTGATGACCGAAACAGTTCACATTGTGATGTTTTGGAATAGCTGGAGAGCTCAATAATCTTACTGAAATTGAGGCTTTTTGGAAAGATTTTGAGGACATTGCAGTCCCCTAGAAAGGTAGGTGCTGGTCTCATCTCTGTAGAAAGCTAAATGTTTAAACATCCCTCATTGTGACGAGAGACAATATAGTTTTTTAAAAAAATGGGTACATGCTCATGTGTTCACAGATGCGTACATCTGGGCACAGGGGGCCTTCCACGGAGGTGGAGAGTTGAAAATGGCTATTTTTCTGCATGAGACGTGGAAGTGCTCAGCCCTCTACTATCATTATCTTCTTGACAGAATGAAACTCACAAATCTAGCTGGCTTTGACGAGCAGAGATGAGGAGCTCAGTGGGATTTGAGACTATTGTTTTTCAGATGCTTCTGGGCTAGACTAGTCTAGAATTGCCCATAATTTCAAAGTAAAAACCACTTTCTGAAATACTAGCACACATAACAAAGGGTTACTGTTATGGTAGTTGGGAAGGAGGTGGGTGTGCAGCTATGGGTTTTTTGTTTTGTTTTGTTTTTTGATCACTGGCTACCCACCAAGTTCAATAGTAGCTGATGGAGTGATACGCTGGTTAAGAAGCTGATGCAGTTTTAGGCATGGTCACTGGCAAAACAGGGTCCCTGGCGGAGGAGATGGTGGTGGTCCCACGCAGGCTTATCTGATTGGACCCTACCTGGGGCTGCCACATCATGAGC